GTCTGTAGGTCACATGTCTGTAGGTCACATTTCTGTAGGTCACATGTCAGTAGGTCACATGTCTGTAGGTCACATGTCAGTAGGTCACATGTCTGTAGGTCACATGTCAGTAGGTCACATGTCTGTAGGTCACATTTCTGTAGGTCGCATGTCTGTAGGTCGGATGTCTGTAGGTCACATGTCTGTAGGTCACATGTCTGTAGGTCACATGTCTGTAGGTCGCATGTCTGTAGGTCGCATGTCTGTAGGTCGCATGTCTGTAGGTCACATGTCTGTAGGTCACATGTCTGTAGGTCGCATGTCTGTAGGTCGCATGTCTGTAGGTCACATGTCAGTAGGTCACATGCCTGTAGGTCACATGTCAGTAGGTCACATGTCTGTAGGTCACATTTCTGTAGGTCACATGTCAGTAGGTCACATGTCTGTAGGTCGGATGTCTGTAGGTCGCATGTCTGTAGGTCACATGTCAGTAGGTCACATGTCTGTAGGTCACATGTCTGTAGGTCACATGTCTGTAGGTCACATTTCTACAGGTCACATTTGTACAGGTACACCCGTCAAACCCAGTTCACGTTCAAGAGAAATAACGAGGTTCCATTTATCATTCTGTGCTTGACGGATGCTTTCATAATCTAAATCTTCTTCCAAGCAATAACTTTCAATCAAATGTTCTCTAACTGATTGTTTAACATCCACATGAGCAAAGTCTCTTACACTCTTTAAATAAGAATGTCTTTTTTTGGCCAATTTCATATCTTCCTCTAAAAGCATTTTTTTCTCTTCAGTCAAATCTAGATACATGTCAGAACTAACAAATGCTTTATATTTCGATTCTATGTCTCTGTAACCATCTAGAGYATCATATATGYCTTTAAAAATAATCAGTTGTGTCTCTTTGAAGTATCTTATTTCCATGGCGTTCAGTGCTTCATATTCCTCGACTGTTTCTGCTTCTATCATTTCTATCTCCATGTCTAATGTATTCAACTCTTCGAGCAGCTTCCCTTTATTCATTTGTAATTTTTTAATTTTATTTTTTTGTGATGACGTGCCCTCTTCATAATTTTTTAACTTGTTCTGCAAGTCTGCTAATTGAGACTGTATATTTTCTCTATTGCAATAGAGATTTTTACGTCTTCCACGCAGGGCCATGAAAGGTTTTGAAACGTTGTTGCTCTCTATAATATAAGAAATATTCCTCTCATTAATTGAAAGCACATTGTGCCACAGATCTTCTAAACCCTTTGAAATGTCCGACGCTGTGGCTTCAGCAGTCATTTCTGTAAAACTCATCGATTAGCCAGAGATCCACTCAGCCTGCAGCTTGCTTCTACACAATGCRAACAAGGTCTGGCTGAATTCAAACAAAGAACTCTGTGTGACGTCATAGAAAAATTCTTTGGGCAGGACCAGAATCAAACATAAATGGGGTCCGTCGTTCATGACGTCATGCATATATTTGCATAAATTATCAGTCATAGGTGTAACTTATGACTTTACTTAAGTAGGGATGGGTACCGAATTTGATACTTTTTGATGTAAAGACCGAATTCTGTCGTACTACCGAGTTTCTATTCACGTAACATCAAACGGTACCAGGTTTCGGTACCTAAATGCATCATTGCGACCGGTTTGGCTTAAGAGTAGTGAGTTTTCCATGCTTGTCCTGAACGCAGCATCACGCAAAAGCGTGATGACGTCAGCAGCAGCAGCAGCGGCTGGTTCAGTCAGTAAACAGAGGCAGCAGAGCTCGGTCTAAACACACCGAACAGACCGCCTCTGGATTATCTGCTGGATTAATGATCTGCTGGATTAATTATCTGATGGATTAATTATCTGATGGATTAATTATCTGA